ATCAGAGCTTAATGCAGCCTTGACCTCTTAGGTTCAAGGAATTCTTCCACTTCAGCCCCACAAGTTGCTGGGACTACAGGTATACACCACCATGTCTGGCTAATTTTTAAATTTTCTGTAGAGATGGGTTCTCACTATGTTGCTCAGGCTGGTCTTGAACTCCTGGGCTCAAGTAATCCTCCTGCCTTGGCCTCCCAAAGTCCCGGGATCGTAAGCGTGAGCCACCGTGCCCAGCCCTCCTCCTGCCTTTTATCCCTTAGTGGATTCCAGGCCCTGTTCATGCCAGTCTTTGCCAGCTTCAGCTTAATGAAGCATGCCCACCTGCATGTCCACTTCATTCTTGATCATTTTGCCATCTGCCCATTTGAGCACAGCCCGAGCCTCTCCTAGAAGCATAGGCACAAGGAGCTGCAGAAAAGCAAAGAGTACTCCCCCCACCTCCTTTCCAAGGAAAGGTCCTGGCTGACCGCGAGAACCAGAGCCTGAGCCCAGCCAGACCACTTTAAGTCACTCCTGTTCCTTCCCCCACCTCCCTCTCACTTGTGCCCAGAAGAAAAGGCATGACCAGAGAGAACAATATAGCCCCCTTCCAGGCCCTGCTCACCCATCAGCAGCCCCATGTTAAAATGGTAACGTTCCACCAGGAGCTGGGGCTGGTGCCTGTTAATGGCAGCCTCCACCTGCAGAAAGCCAAACCATGTGGTTCAGGAAAGCCACCTTTAGAGATATTCTGGGAACCCACACCCTCACTCTGGGTCTTCCTGGGGAGGGAAACTGAGCCACTCCTTTCCATGGCCAGGACTGGGGAGGCAGACGATGCCTGGGGAAAGACTCACAGCCTCCTCAATCTGCTCTGGGGTCACAATGACCCCCACGCCACATTCCTGCTCAAAGTCCACAGTGTCGATGGGGTCCAAGGGGTGACTCCGCACATACTCAAGGGCAGCTGAGAAAAAAGAGCCCGTGAGTTTGTGGCATCTCTGCTCCAAGAAGTGGACAGACAGGGTCGTAATCTCATGAAACTCGAAGGACAGTCTGGCCTCCTGAAAAGTTAAGCCCTGGCACCACTACCCTAGAGGACACAGGGAAGAAAGAAGCACGTGTCGAGAGTGGATCCCCCTCAGACCCTGACGGTTCCCTTGTCAGTCTCACCATAGGCCACCCCCTCCATGCCTCAGTGCCTGTGCAGAACCAGGTGTCTAGAAAGAAACTGGAGGACTTGGCAAAAAGGGAAGACAGGGGTCTTGGCTGAAGGGAGGCATTGGTGCGAACTGGCAGGACAGGTAGGGGTCTCACCGCTTAGCTGGGGCTCAGTGTGGATCTTCTTACTGGCTATGTAGCTTACAAGGAAGGAGAGACGCCGAGTATCCCTGAGTCGGGAGGCCAAGCCATATAACAGGGTCCCGGTAGCCTTGTCAATGGTGGAACCCAGGGTCTGCTGAGCCTGGGGTCAGAGGGGTCAAGAGAGAAACCCCGCGCTCAGTGAGAGGAAAGAGCGGGATAAGTGGGGCAGGTCGGGATCTGGACCCCGCCCCGCGCTGCGTTGCAGCCTGGTACGCAAACCAGGCCGGAGGCAGAGGGGCTCGCACCTGAGTAGCGGCCTCGCGCAGCTGCGCGCTCAGAGCCGTGTTCTTGAGCGTCTCGCGGGCCTTCTGCTCGCTCAGGCCCAGGCCAGTGAAGAGCGACAGGGAGTCCAGAGCCGCCATCGCAGAGACACCGGAAACCAAAAGAAACTTAGGACCGCGTCTGCAGGTCGGCATTCACTCGCTGACCAATGAGAGCGAAGCCTCCGGGAAGAGCCAATGGTGTCCTTCCTTGGCGGTAGGGGGCGGGGCGCTCCAAGGTCGTCTACCCCATTTAAAGAACACAGGGCTGACAAACCGGCTTTTCCGGGGGCTTCGCTTCCGCCTCCGTGGAACTGGGCACTTGAAGGGGTGTTGGCGGGCGGCAGGGCTTTTGGAGATATTTGCCACGTACCTGGGAGGAAGGTGCTCGGCCCCGAGGCAGGAGGAAGACACAGGCGTGGTTTTGCTCTGACTTTTCTACTTCAGCCCTGGGAACTCCATCTCAATATAGTGATTGTCCTCGGGGGCAAATGCGAGTCCCTGTCGCGCTTTTGACGCCACAACTTTGGGGTTGTCATGGAAACAGTTGAGCAAAATGAAGCCCGGGAAATCCCTGATCCACACTCCATCGCAGAGAATGTGTGGAATGACCGATCCAGGGACCCCATAAGTCCGCCGGTTTTCACGTGCCCACTTGGACACAGCTGGCCAGGAAAGGGAAGGGATGGGTCTGGGCCAGGAGGGACCTCACATAAGTTCTATGATGATTTGGTTTAAAATCTTGGCCTGGCGCAGTGGCTCAGGCCTGTAATCCCAGCACTTTGGGAGGCCAAGGTGGGCAGATCACTTGAGGCCAGGAGTTCCAGATCAGCCTGGCCAACATGGTGAAACCCCCTCTCTACTAAAAATACAAAATTAGCTGGACATAGTGGTGCACGCCTGTAATCCCAGCTACTCAGGAGGGAGAGGCTGAAGAATCGCTTGAACCTGGGAGGAGGAGGTTGCAGTGAGCTGAGATTGTACCACTGCACTCCAGCCTGGTGGACAGAGTAAGACTCTGTCTCAAGAAAAAAAAAGAAAAACAGAAAAAAAAATATCATCCCACACTTACCCTCTTGCCTCTTGCCAAAGCATTATCAGGGAAACCACAAGCAAATTAGACCCTGAAATCCCTCTGCAAGCCTTTGAGAGAGGATATTTTATTGAAGTTGGGAAAGGGTGGGACAAACGAGATGGAATCTTCATGATCATAGCTGTTGTGCTTGGGAATCTCCCCACAGTCTCACTGGACTTTCAGGATCTGCTGGCTAAAACAGAACAAAGACTTTGTGTGTGTGAAAAGGGACTGAGGTAGGGGGTTGCAGAGAATGAGCAGCTGGTGGTGGGATGGTGGAAATCCCCAAATTTGAGATTAGAGCTCTTGCAGGAATTGGTGATGCTCACACTTACGGACCTTCAAGGAATAGGCAGGATCCTGACTAGTCTTATCTATATTCTGTGTCTTTTGTACCCACATCCCATTAATGACCAAGCTCCAAGTCTGGGTCTACATCTGGACACCACCTAATGATCACATAGCAGGTGCTGACCAGGGCCACATGCTGTAACACTATCCAGGTCCAATGCTGTCTTGGGGCTTCCCACATCTCCATGTCCTGGTGGCCCCAGCCAGATGCCTAGCCCTGCAGTGCACTGCATGAGAAAGGCCAGGTGCAGGAGTTAAGCAGGGATGCAGATTAGTGGTGCTAAGGACAGGTATCAAGAAGCAGAGCCATAGCCCTACCAGCCTTTCACCAAATTTGAAGCTGCAAGTGCCCAGCCCACCATAAAGGTGATGAGCAAACCCATGCAGCGTGCCTGCCACTGCCACCATTTTCTCAGTAGCTGATGCTGCCAAAAGATTAACTGTAGCACCATCACCAAGTCCTACAGGTCTGGTGATGGCCCCCTCAATGAGATCAAGATCTGCACTCCCTTCCCTGGTTACTTCATGATACACTGTGGACCCCATGGCTACAAGTCATAGGATGAGGCAGTAGCCCCACCAGTGCCACCAAGAATGCCACAAGTGGTAGTACCAGTGGATGTCCAGCTAGTCCCCTAGATGTCTATGACTTGCACAGAGCAGAAATGTTAAATTGTATGGGCCCAGTCTGGAGGTTAGCCTACCTGCATGAGCCCCTGGCACTCCTTCCAGGAAAGTCAAGAGAAAGATGACCAAGTGGAAAAAACCAGGCAGCAGCCAGCAAGGCCCAGTCGTGGAATGGACAGAGGTAGGGTCCAGCAACCTCCTGGGCTCAAACAATCCTCCCATCTCAGCCTCTGAAATATTTGGGACTACAGGTGCATACCATAACACCCAGCTAATTTTTATATTTTTAGTAGATGGTTTCACCATGTTGCCCAGGCTGGTTCTGAATTCCTAGGCTCAAGCTATCCTCCCACCTCACCCTAAAGTGCTAGGATTACAGGCATAAGTCACCACACTTGGCCAGTTTCAGAAACTTTTTTTCTTTTGAGATGGAGTCTTGTTCTGTCGCCCAGGCTAGAGTGCAGTGGCGCAATCTTGGCTTACTGCAACCTCCACCTCCCAAGTTCAAATGATTCTCCTGCCTCAGCCTCCAGAGTAGCTGGAATTACTGCACCCGACTAATATTTATATATTTAGTAAAGACGGGGTTTCACCATCTTGGCCAGGCTGGTCTCGAACTCCTGACCTCATGACTCACCCGCCTCGGCCTCTCAAAGTGCTGGGATTACAAGCGTGAGCCACCACGCCTGGCCAAAGAAGGAAGGCTTCAGGGACTCTTAAGGGAAGACTCTTAAGGCTGGCAGGCCCCAGCACCCTGCCTTCAATAGAAGTCAGACAAGATTCACTCTGGTCCTCTCTGCTTGTCCTCTTTTCAGGGTAGCAATATCTACCCCACAGCAGTTTTCCTCCTGCTCTGTTACCCACAGGGATGCAGATGGTATTCAAGTTACAGCAAAGAAAAAGCTGAGAACAGGAGAGGAGGAGGAAGATCTCCCAGTACTTCTGTCCCCCAAGTCCTCCCTGACTTGTCTGGCTTTCAGCCCCAGGCTGCTGTGGTTAATGCACCTTTTACTCCATACTGTCAGCTCCAGTGTTTCATATACTACTCTGTCCCTTGGCCATATTGAGATCCTGACAATGCTTACCACAGCTGCCTCTTATGTGGGATCAAAGAACAGCAGGTAGACTCCAAAGAGCTGATAGCACTGGGGGCTTCATGACATGAGCTGGGACCCCATCATCTCCCTTCAGACTAGAGCACCTTCAGGATTTCTCATAAACACACACACACACACACACACACACACACACACTCACTCTCTCTCTCTCTCTCTCTCTCTCTCTCTCTCCAAATGATGGGGAGGGGAGGTGGCCCCAGCACGTGGTGGATCACAGTCACTAAGTCTACTTATTTATTATTTATTTTTAAAATATATTTAAACAGCAGCAATCACTTCCAAAATGCAAAAAAAATTACAATTTTTAGAATAAAATTATAATGTTTATAATGCGGGTCAGAAAGAATTGAAGGTACAACAGAATCAAATCACACAGCACTGGAGGTGGCTAGAGAAGCCAAAGCCCACTGGTCAGGGGTCCAAGCTAACAAGAAGTCCCAACCTGAGAGGTCTCCACACCCAAATCATACCCCACAGCTTCCCGTTGACAGAGCCAGTGTCCTCTGGGTTAGAGAAGGAGAAGCGGCAAGGAGCTGGCCCTCTGTGGTGGGTGTCCCAAACCCAGTCCCCCCCATCAGCCAGGGACCTGCTAATCCACCTCCTCCATGTTGCTGTAGGTGGGGGCTGGCCGATCCACAGGGGGGGCGAAGCGTTCAGGGGCTGTCCGCGTGGGGGCCACCTCGGGGGCCTGGCCAGGGCCTAGTCCCTGCAACAGAATACGAGGACAGGGGTTGGGGGCTGCCCAGCATGCCGCCTGGCATCCCGGGGGTGCTGGCTTGGAGCCCTGGCACCCAAGGGAGGGTCCCAAGGCAGGCGCAGACAGCAGCGGCGTTCAGACAGAGAGACAAGATTGGGCCTGAATAGTCTGGCTTTATTAACACTTTAAGTACAGGAAGTAGCTTGGGCAAGGCCAAGCCCGAGGCCAAGGGTCAGAGCAGCAGGATGAATGGACAAACAGCTGGATGGATACACACCCTACGATGCTCTGCCCGTGCAGGGGCCACAGCCTCCCCACCCTCTCCCACCAGATGCACAAGCTGAGGCCCAAAGCCCAGAGGTGTTCCCCACAACAAAGGCAGGCATGGCCTGGGGCAGGCAGGTAGGCCAGCTCACAGCAGCTGCCTGCAGGCGAGCTCATCTCCAGCGACTCTGGGATACCAGAGGATAGAACACGTTGAGCACGAGGGCCACCAAAGCCGCCACGGTGCCCAGGACAAAGTACCGGAGGCAGCCCTCATCTGGTGTGGTAGGGCCACGTGGCGGGGGGCCCACCCAGTCTTGGGGCCCCCAGGGACCCAGGGGCCCAGGCCCCTCAGGCACCGGCTCCTCCTCAGCCTCCAGCTCCTGCCAAATCCGGGAAGCCTAGGGTATGTGGAAACGGCCATCAGCACCCCAGGGGTGGGGAGGACCCAGTGTCCCTGAGACCCTTAGCCATGATAGTCCCACCTGGGGTGACTGGGGCTAACACTCTGCATTCTAGATCAAGCAGCAAGGAGGAAGGCAGGCAGCCAACCTCAGGGTTGTCCAGACTAAGAGCACAAGTGTAAGTAAATCTTGACAGCATTTTGGCCTACCCTAAACAGCTTTCAATCCACGTGCAGCTCCGCATGGAGGTGGGAGGGGAGTTATCTGGTTAGTATTTCAGTCCAGGCCTCTTCAGAGGACACTGATTTATAGGAAACAGGGCGCCAATCCCAGAGCAATCTCCTTGCTCCTTCCCACTCACACCCCAGATCCTGACCAGTCTTCTGCAGGGACTTCTCTAATCCTTGACAGAGAAGGCTTAAGAGAGGATGGAGCCAGAAAGGAGGCGGCCAGTCCAGAAAAGAGATGTGCCTACGCCCACCAACTGGGCCTATGGCACATAATGTCACTAAAAGACACAGAAGATCCTGAAGGCTCAGCAAAGACAGATGCTTACCTCAGAGAGTATAACAGCCACCAGAAGCCATGGCCAGCCCAAATAGGCCTTGTCTTGAGTGCACAATAGAACTCAGGGACATCACAAGTGAGGGTGTGTGGGCTAGCATGTGGGGAATGTGCAGAGGAAATCTAGAGAGTATCAGTTATAGTTCATTCATAGCACAGTGCCCAGTGAGGTTCAAAGCAGTTGCCTGACCTGTGCCAACTGGGTGCCAATGTGCTTGCCAGTGGCATCATGTTAGTGTACCTGTATGTTAGTGTCCCCAGGGCATGGGGATGCCTCTGGATAAAGCTTTGATGTTAAGGGAACTCTGCAATTCTCATGAATCCCAAGGCTCAGGGAGCCTGTGACTGGAGGAGAGGAAGCTATATCCCCAACCCTGCCCCGCAGTCTGTGAGCTGTCCCCCACTATTCTGTAAAGCCGCCCACATGCCTCACCTGGCTGGCAGCAGCCTCAGCTGCAGGGCCTAGGTCTGGGTGGTGCTCAGAGTGACCTGCCCTGGGGGGCCTCTCCACAGGAGAGTTCCGCCGGCGGTAGAAGAGTACATAGGCATAACGCGTCACAACCTGGCTCTCGTCTACCGTTGTCACCGTGCTGTCATCAAACAAGCGCCAGCCTAAGGCAGGGTGGGAAGAGTGTGAACGAAGTCTGCACCACCACCCCTACCATCTATCCTGCTGGCTGTGTGTGCCCTCACCCACGTCACTGCGCTGACTGCTACGATCATTGGGCAGGCGTGCACAGGCAGTGTAGTGGCCACCAATCATGCCTCCATAGTGGTTGATGACAGCATACAGATCATAGCTGGGCAGCTGCTCCTCTTTCTGACCAATGCAGAACTTGCTCAGGTCCAGGTTCCTGCAGGTCAGGTCCAGTCAGGGAGGGGTGAGACAGGCAGCAGGTGCTCAGGATGCCCACCTTGGTCCTCACACCCCACCCACAGTTACCAAGGTCCATTGCTTACCGAACAGGGAACTCCACCAAGTCATTGATCTTGTCACGCCAGATAAAACTACGAAAGGAGAAGCGCTTGAGCTGCACGATGAGAACATTTGGCAGGCGCCATAGCAACAGCTGCTTGGAGGCCTCACGGTGCTGTTTGCACTGTGGGCAGTACCTGGTGGGAACAGAGGTTGGGTCAGGACCAGCAAGTCTCTCTCTTCTCCATCCTGCCCCCTTATCTGCTTGCTGCTCTGTTCTCACCAGGCCTCCTCGGGTGCCAGCACCTCAGGCCGTGTGAAGAGGTTGAGGCACTGGTCCAGGGTGAAGTGGCCGGCCCGGGCAGCCTCACCGGCAGAGCCTGGATCCTCAGCACATTCCAGCTCCTTGGAGGCTACCAACACAAACTCCTGCAAACGCTCATTGTTCCTCCAGACGAGAGCCAGGCTACAATCGTCACCCAGCTCCAGTGGGGTGTCTCCTGGAGATTGGCAGGGAGAGAGGTCATGCAGCTGTGGAGAACAGCCAGCTCAACCCACCCCATGGCTCTCACCCACGGCCTCAGACACCTTTGTCCTCTAGCCGCTGCTCTCGGTTGGATGAGTCAATTTTATAGATGAAGAACTGTGGTGTGTGGGCATTCATAGCTTCACTTGGGTGCTGGTACCCAGGCACAGCGGCTGTGTGAGAACATGATAATCAAAGCTTCCCTGCCCATCAGGGCCTCACCAGGCCCACGAGGTCCTAAACAACAGCCCCCCCCATCCTCCCCTACCTTCCTCCCCAGCTCCCAGAGCTTTTCACTGGATCTTACCTTCGGGTCGGGACACCCTCTCGCCAGCAGGCAAGGAGCCAACCTCAGTGGGCCCACTGGCCAGTATCTCAGAAGAAATTCCACTGGTGCTGGGCACAGGACCCCGGTCAGGGGCTGCCCACACCCGGGGAAGCCCTGTGTCCCCCTCAGCCATAGGGGTCACCAGCTGGAGCTCAGGTGGCTGAATGGGGTCCCTCTCACTGTCCCCAGCCTCCAGGGAGCCAGTGGAGAGCAGTGTGGTGCAGCCAGGGCTCTGAGACTCCAAGGCCATGCGGCCAGGCTGAAAGGGTGGCTGGAATACACTCACAGAGTACCTGGCAACAGAGAGCAAGGCAAGTAGGACTCCTGACCAGCCCATCTAGCACCTCTGCTCCCACCTACACCACTCTAGTCCAACCACTAGGCACTTACCGGGCATAGCCCTCTAGCAGCTGAGCAAGGCGGGCATAAGTGAGGCGTGAGGCAGGTACACTGACCAGGAAGGGGTAGCCAATGTTCTCAGGTCGGCAGAGGCCCTTGTGGTCAGGCCAGTGGGTTTTCTGGCAGAGCCTGAGGGGAAGAGGAAGACAAGGATAAGGCCCTTAGCCCCATCTCCTATAACTCCATAATGGGGGCTAGTCATAGTCCCTGGGAACTGGGTATGCCAGCCCTGCCTCCCCCAGAACCTGGTAAAGTAGGCAAGTAGAAAGCTTAAGCACATGTGCCTTGGTGTGAAGGGAAGGGGCAGGGTGGCACATGGAAGGTGGAAATAAAGGGTCGGGGAGACGATGGGGGTCCTCACTGGTTGCAGTAGCCCACACGGTAGCACCGGGTACAGCGCTTCAGCTTTTCATCCTCCGACTGTTGCTTCCGCTGGCAGGCTGCACACTTGGAGATGGGGACGCTGGGCACCTGGGGGCGCTAGGGTGGGTCGTCTGGCTCAGCAAGACCAGGCAGGAGTACCCCACCCACCGGGGCCCTATGCCATCAGGTTGGCCCCCACTCACCTGTTGCACCTCTAGCACCACTACCCGCTCCTTAGCCAACTCTGGGGATAGCAGCTCAAAGCAGAGGAGCATATCAGATGGGGACACAGTGTCCAGTGAGTGGGAGGGCAGGAACACACGATGGAAACGATTCTTAATTACCTGAGGACACAGAACACACAGATCCCACATGAGGATAAGCCCTTTCCCTAGCCCTGCCCCAGAGTTTAAGAAGGCTTGGCCCGGCTGTGGGTCTATGTGGGCAGTGGTGAGGTCTGTAGGCCCAAATAGGCTTAGCCTCTACTGGCACCCATCTCAGTGTCCAATGCCATAAGGAGCCTGATGCATCAGAGGGCCTGAAAGACCGGGTATGAGGCAGATATCAACCACACCAGCTCTCCACACTGAGGGACTCTGCCCTGCTATAACTAGAATAGCCTTATAAGACTGTAACATACTATCACAGAGGGTCCATATTCAAAGAGCCTCCTCCCAACTCTTACCCCTGAGAAAATCGACACTGTCAGGCTAAAGGCTAGGAACCCCTGGGGAGAGCTAGCACACACAACTGGGATAAAAGGAGAGAGCAGCAGGATAGAGGGAGAAGCAGAGCGAACATAGGTATAGTCCTGCAGTTCAAGCTCCTTGTCTAAAAAGGGAAATGCAGTTGGGATCCACGACCACAAAGGGGAATAAACCCTGATAATGGCTAGGAACTGAAGGCACTTCTGTTGCACAGACAAAATAACAGCACATCACCTGTTTTTGTACAGTCACAGGCATACTCATTTGTATGTCTATTTTTATTTTATTTTTATTTTTGAGTCTTGCTCTGTCGCCCAGGCTGGAGTGCAGTGGCGCGATCTCGGCTCACTACAACCTCCGCCTCCCAGGTTCAAGCGATTCTCCTGCCTCAGCCTCCTGAGTAGCTGGGACTACAGACATGTGCCAACATGCCCGGCTAATTTTTTTTTTTTTTGTATTTTTAGTAGAGGTGGGGTTTCACCATGTTAGCCAGGATGGTCTGGATCTCCTGACCTCGTGATCCACCCGCCTTGTCCTCCCAAAGTGCTGGGATTACAGGCATGAGCCACCATGCCCAGCCCTATTTTTATTTTTTATCTATTTATTTATTTTTGAGACAGAGTCTCACTCTGTCACCCAGGCTGGAGTGCTGTGGTACAATCTCTGCTCACTGCAACCTCCACCTCCCGGGCTCAAGTGAGCCTCTTGCCTCAGCCTCCCAAGTAGCTGGCACTATAAGCATGTACCACCACGCCCAGCTGCTTTTTTAATTTCTTGTAGAGACAGTGTTTCACCAAGTTGCCCAGGCTGGTCCCAAACTCCTGGGCTCAAGTGATCTGCCCACCTCAGCCTCACAAAGTGCTGGGATTACAGGCGTGAGCCACTGTGCCCAGCCCATGTGTATGTCTGTAGATGCCAATGACTATACACACGTGTCTATGGTGAGTACACACACACATCCATATATATAATAGCCCAAGGAAAGACAAAGGTACCTCCGCCAAACGCAGATTCTCAGGCTTCACACGAACGCTTTGAGAGAGGGAGTCCAATACTTCACTGGCAGTGGAGTTCTCCTTGCTGACGCTCACCAGGAACTGTGGCAAAAAGGGCAGTCAGTGAGGGAGGTGGGCCACGTTCTCTAGAACAGCCCAGAGGGTAGGCGCTTACTCCTCACCTTAATGGGCTTGCTGTGGGGCTCTCGGGCGAAATAAAAGACAGGGAGAACCTTTTGCTTTTGTGGCAAGGGCACCGGCAGATAAAGAAACGGGTCAAAAGTGATGGAGACCTGTGGATGTAGAGGTGGCACTGGGTAGCTGCACACAGAGTGGGAGACAAAATGTTCATGCCCAAAGAGCCCATTCCAGGGCTTCTGATGGCTCTCAAGGCCTCCACAGCCAACCAGCAAACTCTCAGGCTTCAGGACACTAGATGGGGCAGGAGGACCACCAGGAGATAACAATCCTCCTTTCTGGCACTCAAAGCCCTACTCAGCTTAGCCACTTTACGAATTTGCCTCACACTCGCACCCCATGTGCCCACAACCCTGCCACAACACCTCTGAGCTCTAACATCACTTTTCCCTCAGTCAGGAAGCCTACCTAAGTGGGCTCTTCAGCCCATATAGAATCCTAAGGCCTCCCTGCCAACTTCTTTGCCCAAACCTTAAGATGCACGTGCCTCTGAACCTAACATGACCAGAATAGAGGGCCTCTTTCCAGGGGAGCCCATCACACCTTGGCACACACAGGGCACACCAGCTTCGACTTGTACTGCCCCTGAAATAGGTCCACGATGAAAGAGTCATTCCTCATCTTGTGCCGCTGCCATGCTTCCTCAGCTACCACCTGAGAGGCAGAGTGGTGAGAACCAAAGAGGCCTGGGGGCTGGGATGCTCATGAGACATGCCCACCCTCTGTCCCTAACCCTGACCTCATCAGGCCTCCCATCTGAGTCCACGGTCTCTGTGTAGGGCTTGTTCTGAATGCGATTCAGGTCCTCGTGCAGCCCATCCAGCAGGAAAGCCATGAACTCCTGGGCATCATGCTGCGCATAGCCTGTGAACTGGCTGGCCTTACTCGCCACAATGGCCTGGATACAGGAGCCAAAGTGTGAACACAAAGCCCTAGCACCCACTGCACACCCGGTTGGCTGGCCCTCCCCGCCCCCTGCAGCCAAGGGTGACAGTGGTCACAGATCACCTTCAACTTGGAAGGCTGGAAGGCATGGTGGGTGCCCTTCCACAGCGCCCGAAGCAGCACAGCAAAGCCAATGGCCAGACGCCCACCAGTCCCTAGTGGGTTGTTGTAGTTGATCTCAGCCTCAAAGGAGCGGTCTAGGAATAGTAGCGGAGCAAAGGTGTGAGGGACAAAGGCACCCTCTCTGCCCATTCCCCAGGCTCCAGGCCCTGCCCTCACCATGGAAGAAGTCCCGGAGTTCCCGAGTGTTGGACAGAGACTGAATGACGCTGTTCATGAAGCAGGTGTTGCCTAAATTGACAAGGCCAGTGAAGCCTGGCAGACACACTTTCTTCTCTTCCTCTTCCTCCTCCTCCACACTATCTCCACTAACTGGGCTGTGGGGCATGGGAGGCACCATACATGTAGGCTTGGGCTGGGGGAGCAAAGAGGACATGAGAGAACAGCTCCAAGACTCTCCAACCTCCATTCTTCGTCCTTCCCATCCCAGAATTCTCACCGACACCAGGTGTGTCTCTGGCTTTGGGGTTACATGCTCCATAGGTGTGCGGGTTGCCACACTCTCTAGCCCTGTGTCCTCAGATCGTGCCTTGGATTTATCCTTCTCCATAGCCCGGGCCTCCTCCTGGCCTGTCAGGGGGTGGGGAGCACCTCCTGGTGGGGTTGAATCCAGAGGGGTTGGACCTGTCGGCACGGCAACCTTTGCACCACCCACTGCACCTTAAAAAGGGGGAATGAGAGGGCTGGTGGTTAGCAGCATGTGACAGGGGTTTGGGTCCTGATCACGTGGAACTGGGCAATGAAGGGAGCTCGTGTGCAGACCTCGTGTAGCCGGGGCCTCCAGGCCCCCCCACCGCTGACTCTGCCTCTTACGAAGGCAGATGTCGATGCGAGAAGCCGTGAAACAGAAGGTGCACTGCTCTGGCTCAATCAGATTCCTGTGGGAAAAGGCTGAACTCAGGAACTTAGGAGGAATGGGCATCAGGATAGATAAGCCAGGGAGATGGAGCCTGGGGGAGTAGGACAGGCACAGTGGTGGGGCCGGGCACCACCCACCTGAGCTTCACCTGCCAACGGAAGATGGTGTGGGGCCCACAGCCTGGGTGCAGCCTCAGGAAGTTTCCATCCCTGCAGAGGCACAGCAGGATAGGAGGAAGGACAAGAGGAGGAGCATGAGACATACTGTCCCACCTGAGGCATTGTTTGCCCATCATCTGCCCACCCACCTGGTCTGGAAGATGAGTGTGAAGTCCTGCTCACGAAAAAGTACTCTCGAGGTGTCCCTGCAGATCTCCTTCACGTACACGTGCACCACCACTGAATCCGGGCCCTTCTCATACGAGTCATTCTTGACAAACGCCAGGTTCACCATCGACTCGGGCTCTAAATTATTGAGACCATGGCTCAGCTCCAACCTGGACAGGTTCCAGCCTATTGCTACTCTACTCCCTAACCACCTACAAGCTTTGCAACCCAACCTAGGCCTGCCCACCCCCACCTTTACCATCCACCAAGGTTGCAGCATCTGCTGCCACTGCCATCTCCTCCTTGGCACGGTCATCTTTCCCAGAGTTTCTGCTCCGGACCATGGCTGGAGAGACTGGGTCATTCCCAGGAGACACTGCTTTCTCTCCTGCCAAAAGGGCTAAATTCTCCTCTGAGCCCAGGAGGCAGGTTTGGGGGTTCACCGGTGGTATGCAAAGCTGTTCATCAGCCTCAACCTATCAATGGCAAGATTGTGGGCAGAATCAGCCTGGGCTCTGCCAGGTGGCTCCCACTCCAGTGCACACTCTTTCCCCCCATTTCCTAACACCCATACAGGTGCCCAACTCTCACCTGGGTGGCCGGGTCAGCCACGAAGGGTGGGGCATCACCCCGGGGTCCAGGGTCATCCCTGGACCCCTCCCCCTCTGGCCCTCTGCAGAGATGCACAGCCCTCTTGGCGCTGGGCCCTGCCTGGGCCCCGGGGCCAGCCCCTGAGCCTACCTCACCACGGCTCTGGGCCCGCTTCTGGTTCCGGGCCTCCTGCTTAGCCCGGTGGGGCTCAGGGCCTGGCTCCAGGGCAGTGGGAGACAGTTCCTGCCCATTCTCCTGGCACTGCAGCCCCGGCACCAGCTCCTGGGTCCCTAGAGGTTTCTTCTGCCAAAGATACAGCAGTCAGGCCCTGTCGACTACACTGGCTATCCCTACCCAACCCTGTACTACTAGAACTCACCAGGAGGGAGGGCCACGTGAGCATAGGCACCTTTTTGGGCAGTGTCAGGTGCAGGAGACTGCCCTTGCGGGTTTGCACTTTAGCACAAGAGCTTTTTATCTCAGCATAGAAGACACCACCCCACTGCTGACCACCTGGAGACAGAGCAGGGTCCATGAGGTAGGATAGGAGATATCAAAAGATTCAAACATACTATTGTGCTCAGGGCAGATGGACACACCTGCAAACCGCACCACACAGTCCGTATCTGTGAAAGCAGCATCTACATCCTCCAGCTGCAGGGGACCTACTCCCACATGAAGCTTGACAATCACCTCTTCTGCACTCTGCCTCCAATCGAGCAACAACTCTGGAGGGGGAGTAGCCAAGAGATCATGAGGGTCTTCACAAGCTCCTGATGGTGATAAGCAGGTAACAGAGACCCAGCCCTAATGAAACTGCTTCAGATGGGAGCCAAATTGTAAGTGATCCCTCCCCTTCCCTAGCACCCAAAAAGCTCATTCATAACTGACCCTCTTTGGTCTGCTCCTCCCGAGGAGTGGATGCTGACCCTGACAATGAAGGAAAAAACAGCCGGGAATGGTGGCGTGAGCCTGTGATCCCAGCTGTGCAGGAGGCTGAGGCAGAAGGATCACCTGAGGCCAGAAGTTCAAGACCAGCCTGGGCAACATATCGAGACCCTGTCTCTAAAAAAAAAATAAGAAAAATTAGCCAAGCATGGTAGGGAGGCTGACATAGGAGGATTACTTGAGTCCAAGACTTTGAGGATGCAGTAAGCTACGATCACACCTGCACTGCACTCCAGTCTGTGCAAGAGTGAGACCCTGCCTCTTTAAAAAAAAAAAAGGAGGGGGCCAGGCACAGTTGCTCATGCCTGTAATCCCAGCACTTTGAGAGGCCAAGGTGGGCAGATCACCTGAGGTCAGGAGTTTGTGACCAGTCTGGCAAACACGGTGAAACCCCATCTCTACTAAAAATACAAAAATTAGCTGGGCGTGGTGGTGCGTGCCTGTAATCCCAGCTACTTGGGAGGCTGAGGCAGGAGAATCGCTCGAATCCGGGAGGCGGAGCCCACAGTGAGCCAAGACCACGCCACTGCACTCACTCTAGCCTGGATGACAGAGTGAGACTCCATCTCAAAAAAAAAAAAAAAAAACCATGCATGGTGGCATGCACCTGTAATCCCAGCTACTTGGGAGGCTGAGACAGAAGAATCACTTGAACCAGGAGGTGGAGGTTGCAGTGAGCCGATATTGCACCACTGCACTCCAGCCTCGGCAACAGAATAAGACTCCATCTCAGAAAAAAAAAAAACAAGGAAATAAAGAAAGAATAGGTTAAAAAGAAAGAAAAAAAATTTAAAAAAGAAAGAAGGCAAGCCCCCCAACAGCACCATCTTCTGGATCTTAGCCAAGTACTCAGGCTTCAAAGCTGAGGCTCTACTGAGCCTATCATGGGTCCTTCTCTCATCATCAGACCAGGACAGAGAGGAGCAAAAAAGTCATCTCCCAAACCCCAATCTGTATACTTAATAAAATGGGACGGAAAGAAAGCCACAAGCACTCTGGGAATGCCACTCCCACCTTTCCTAGGATCTCCATCCTTGCTCTCCTGGTTTGCTCGATCCTTCTGCTTCTTCTTACTAGTTGCGTCCTCCAGTCCTGGGGGCCCTCTCCTTGGGCCTGTGGCACTGGCCCCGCCAGACATCTTGAGCCGCTTGGTCGACAGCCAGAGTGCCCCGGGGCCGGCAACAGCGTCTGGGTCAGGGCTGCGGCGCTTTCTTCCTGGCCCAGCTATCTTGGCAACTCTTTGTGGCCAAATTCTCCAGCAAGGAACCAACAGCCTAATGGAAAAGAGCCAGTGATCACTGCCAAGACCCAGCAACTTGCTCTTTAGCTACAGCCAGGGCTCAGCAACCCAGGACACTCCTAATGCTACAGAGCTGTATCTTCTCATCTCTGAAGAATCCCTGGACACTCTCAGGCTATTTTGAAGAGGTAATAAATAATGCAAGTAGCAGCAACCACTTCTGGCCAAGCTTCATAGATACCCACCATAATAGTCCCACACAGCTGGAAGCCTCACTGAGGGGGCACCAGGTCAAGGGAAGTCATGGCCTGGGACCAGACTACTCCACCAATCTGGAGAGGAGCCATGGCTCCAGCCCACAAGGCTGGCACTCCGAGCAGGGTGTTCACTTTTCCTTCACTCTCACTGGCTGCTTAGTCACCACTGGAGAAATAGAAGGTGGAGGAGGAAGGCAGGAAAGGAGACAAGCCACAAGAGGCCCAGGCTCTGTGGCTGAAAACAGGCTCAACCCAGGTTCTGCCATTGCCCAGAAAAAGTCCTGGGGCTAAGGCACTCCACCTGCCTCCTGCCAGCTCCCACCCTTAGCAAGAACCTGCTCCTATGTACTGCTTGGTTCTTCTTCATTTTAAGAGAAAGTCCTCTCCCCAGCTGCTGTCCCAAGCAGAGAGTGACTGAAAAGTGTATCTAGATGTCACACTACCTCTTCAGCAACAACCCTGCTCTAGTACTAAGGCAGGATGGGAATCCAGTTTGAGACTGGAACAGAAATCATCACCTTCCTTCCCAGATGCGTTCACTCATGAGCTCTGAGACACAGGGACCACTACAATTTCCCACAGACCCACCGGTAGATTCCGGACTGTTTCCCCCTCCGAAATGAAGGTCTTGAAGCTAGATACTGAGATGAGGCTGGGGAGGACCATGGATCCAGGACCCCTGGCAGCCTCAAGCCTGGCCTGAACCAGTAGCAGGACAGATAATGACTAGTCTGTGTTCCCCTAAGTGTGTAAAGGAGGAAGGAGGGATGGTAGGATACCTTTCTACAGGTCAGATGTGGTACTGGTGGACTGGATCTTTAATGACACCTGCTACCGACGCCTCCTTCTCTCACCCAGGCCCCAGCCGAAGGTCGCGTCCCTCCCCCATGTCCCGGAGACGTTGAGGCGGGAAAGGGGCTGTCTAGAGACCCGAGCCGGCCTGAAATGGCAGCGCGGGGTTACTGACCACAGACCAGCGCCCCGGTCGAGTTGCAACCCAGCTTCAGCCTCTGAACCCCGAGCCCGCCACCACCTCTTCCAGGAAGCTGCCCTAGCTGGCCGCCAGTCCTCTCCCAGGTGGGAGGCTGGCCACAGGCATAGCGTAACGGCCCCGCCGGCATCAGTGGGCTGGCACGCTGCGGGACACTAGGGGTAGGGGCTGGCACGGCCCGTGACCTTGAACAGGCCGCCGCGGCAGCGCGTTGCGGCCTCCCCGCTGCGGCCAAGCAGGCGAGTTGCAGCCCGCTCCACTCACCGAGCGAGACCGCCGCAGCCAGCCCTCTTCGGGCCCTGGCAACCCGCTCTCCGTTCCGGTTCCGGCGTCAGGTCGGTTCCGGTTCCGGCGCGCCCCTCCCCCGTCCCGGCGCCGCCGCCACCGCCTTAGCGGCTTGTTTTGTTTCGACTTCTAGTTAAGGCCGCGGGAGGCGGAGCGCCAAGCTGCTGACGCACTTCCGGCGGGAATGGGCTCGGGGAGACTGGCAGGCGGCTCCGGGGCGGGCCCGAGCGGAAGGGGGCGGTGCTCGGATGGGTTAGCCTTGCATGGGCCCTGCTAGGGGCAACCTCGAGGTTCCCCTGGAGACTCCCCCACCCGCCCCAAATCAGAGTCCAGACAACACAGTGGGGGTTCACACTGGTTTATTGGGGGCCCTGCCGGGCCAAGAGCTCTTCAGTGCATAGGCAGATATGCATGTGGGGCAGTGCCAGGAACTGGGGTAGGCCTTAGGCAGGGGTCACTGGCAGGTGTTGTAGATCTGCACCTGCAAGTTGATGGCTTGAAGCACGCTGCGCATCCTGGCCTCCAGCCCGTCCAGCTGGGCTGCCTTACCCTCCAGTGCCCGCTCATTCTCCTCATAGGTGCCTTCCAGTTCTAGGAAGGGCAGGTGTCAGTTTAGAGGGGTCTCCTGCAGTCCTGTGTCTCTGGTGCCCACCTGCCCCATTTCTCACCCTGTAGCCGCTGCAGCTTGTCCTGAGCAGTCTGCAACAGGTCCCGAGCCTCATCCCGCAGTTGCTCTGCCCTTGCCTGTGCAGCTAGCACACCCTGGGCCTTGCGCTCAGCCAGGGCCTTCACCGTCTGGTACTGATCACCCAGAGGACCCCGTAGCAGCTGCAGATGTAGAGGGTTAGGTTAGAGTGGTAGCTCAGTGGAGGCCCATCTTCCACCCCTACCTTCTCTAGCTGGCTCTGCCTCAACCCACCTGCTCAGCCTCCTGGGCACGACCCTGGGCACTGCCTGCCGTTTCTTCTGCTGTAGAGGCTGCCAGACTATTTCCCGCCCGTTTCAACTTCAGAGCCTCCAGGAGAGCATCCAACTGCCGAGCCCTTTCACCTGCAGAGCTCAGTGCCTGCTCTGCACCTGCCATCCTCTCCTGTACCTGCCATGGGTGAGCCAAAGGTTACACAGATCTACGGTGCATGCCCATAACCTTATCCCACTGATGTCCTAGGAAGACCTCACCTGGTATAGGGTCTGCTCTGTGTCCTGTGTGTCAGCCACTGCCCCCCGGATGGCACCCTGGGCAACACCCTGTGCCCGCTGGGCCTCCTCCAGTGCTGCCTGTACTGTCTCTGCCTTCTGTTTCTCACCCTCAGCCCGGCTCCTGGGGAAAAGGGGGAATCAGAACCTGGAGGTATCAAAACCAGGTGTCAGGGGCCAGGGATGGGGTCAGACCTTGCCCGCCGTGCATCCTGCAATAACTGCTCGGCACGACGCACATCTCCTACAGTACGTGCCAGGATCGCGTCCACATCCGCCAGGCTCCGGACTCGCTCTGCAATTGCACCCGCCAGGTGCTGGATCTGCTCAGCTGAAGCTGGGATGGAGAGCTCTAGCACCCGTGTGGCCACCATCTCAATGCTATCAGGATCAGCCCCCTCCTCTATAGGGACACAGCAAGAGCTTAAGAACATAGATTCTTCAGCATGGGCATGAGGATATAGCTTTGGGGTGTGGACTCAGGACATGTACATGGGATAGGGGTTTGTTACCAGCCATAAGGATGTAATCACAAGGACAGGGACTATACAAGGGGCTCAGACTCAAGAACATGGACCTGGGACCACATATGGGCAAGGACTCAGGAGCCAGTCAAGGGATCATAAACACTAATCCAGTGTAGGCCCTAAGGCTCAAGTATGAACCAAGGGAGATACAGACACAGGGAGTTGCCAAAGGAACAACCACATGGCCTGGGACACATGGGAGGCTCACGGTTGAGGAAGTCCTTCACACTCTGGACAAGTTCTCGAAGTTCCTGGTTGGCCTGTTCCACTTGTCCCCTGGAAGCATTAGCCTTGTCCAGGGCTGCCTGGGCCCGCTGCTGTGCCTCGCTTGCCTGCCGACGAGTCTCAGCCACTCTGCTGAGGATGCTACCACCTTCTGCCAGTGCCCGCTGCAGCTCTGCCTGTGTGTGCCGGGCCCGGCCCAGTGCTAGGTCTGCTGTAGCCACTGCCCCATTGCAGCTGAGGCCCCCACAGCGGGGCTGCCCATCCTCATCTCGACAGCCGGCACCCCCACAAGGGCTTGTAGCACAGGGTGCATCCCCTGGTGCCCCACACACCTGCCAGGCACACAACAAGTCAGGGCCCTGTGGGAGGAACATCTACACCCACCTGTCCCACCCAACACTTGTACCTCACCAGCTCGTTTATGCCTGTCAGGCTCAGGGTGTGGGTATGGGCAGAGAGCTTTCGCAGGGCCCGCTGGTTGGCCATGTGTTTGCTGTTGAAGTCCTCATTCTGGGCATCCATCAGTGCTTCTGTCCGATGCCGAGCACTTGCCGAGTTGCTCACAGGGCTAGGTACTGCCAGGGCCGAGGTGTTGGCACAACGTTCTGCCTCTGCAGACTGGCTATGGGCATGCCGGATGCTGTCATAGGCACCTAAATTGGGCAAAGGCAGACAGTCAGCTGAAGACTGACCCTGGTCCACCTGCCTAGTTGGCTAACAACTCACCCAGGAAGTTTGAATGTTTGAGCAAGTCAAGATGCTGGTCCAGCTGCCGCAGTGTGAGATTAAGTGCAAGCCTGTCTCGCTCCAGACCACTTAGTGCATGGTTGGCATTGAAGTTCTCATCCTGCACATCTGTCAACTCTGCTTCCAGTTGAGTCAGGTGCTCAGTGGCCTCCCCAATTTCACGCCTGCGATGATGGAGAGGGGGCTGTTTAGACAGGCTTCAGTCCTGGTCCACTGGGCCTCTGCCCCATCCCACCATGTATTCTTAGGTCCTTCCGCACCGCAGCTCCTCTGTGGCCTCCACAAGCTGTGCAGTGGAGGCGGCTGAGGTGTTGCGGGCACCTACAATGCCCTGCACAATGCCCAGCTTCTCCTGCATATGCCAGAAGCTGCTCTCAAAGGCACCCAGCACACCCGTCTGCTGCAACTCCTGTGCCCGCTGCTCTAGGCGCCGTGTACGGGCAGCCAAGTCCTGCACCACTCGGTCCCAATCCCCGAAGCATGCATGGCAGGGATGGCAGGCAGGAAAGAATCCTGAGAAGCCACGGGCACACTGGTCACAGCGCACACCAGACACGCCTGGGCGGCAGCTGCAGTGACCTGTGGAGCGGTGACACTGAGGTGTATCTGTTCCATGAGGGTCACAGTCACAGGCTGCAAGAAAGAGCAGAGGACAGAGTTAGGGCCACTGTGGGGCATTCTGGGAAGCCCTCCATCCACCCTGGCCCTGCTGGCTCCCTCACCACGACACTGCAACCCAGGGTCTCCCCAGTGGAGCTCTTGGCACTCAGAACAAGTCCGCCCTCCAAAGCCGGCACGGCAGTAGCACTGCCCTGTGAACTGGGGTGGGAACAAGGCAGGGTCAGAGCCTCTATCAGAGGCTGAGCCCACAAGACAAGAAAGACACCTGACCCCATCTAACCAGGGATCTGCAGGAGGGTCCCATACCTCATTGCAGGTGGGGCCTCTGGCCTGTCTTGGGTGGCAGGCACAAGGATGGCAACCATGGCCACTGGTGAAGTTCCAGAAGTTGGGGGCACAGTGGTCACAACTAGGGCCCTGGACATTGGGGAGGCATGGGCACTGCCCACTGCTTCGATCACAGTGGCACTGGTCAGGAGACGGGCACTGCTGGGGATTTGTGCCCAGCAGGTTGCAGGTGCAGCCTGTGCCAACCGAGACGAGCACAGTAGTCAAGAGGAGGCCAAGAAGCAGAACCCCAACTCAGTCATGCCCTCCCATACTCATACTCACGGTGACAGCTCTGTCGGGTAGCCTGCCCGTGGAAGCCAGGCTTGCAGTGGGCACAGTGTGGACCCTCTGTGTGGTGTAAACAGCGCAGGCATTGCCCCGTGTGGGGGTCACAGGCATCAGGATCCATTAGGTCAATGTTCCCACTGCACTCACACAGTTGGCACCGGCCACCTGGCCTTGATGGGTCCCCAAAGTGCCCAGGGGCACAAGCTTCACATCGCAGCCCTGCCCACAGTCAAGAGGAAGCTATGATGGCTCAGTCCAGCCAACTCACCCTGATCCTACGCCTGCCCCCTATCCACTTACCCGTGTAGCCTGCCCGGCAGTGGCACACAATCTTCTGGGAATATTCATCCCGGTGGCAAGAAGTAGCAAAGTGCCGTTGGCTCCCAGGGCCTTCAGGACATGGACAGGGCCGGCACTGGCCCCCATATGGCAGTTGTGGGTCCCCGTGGAAACCAGCAATGCACCTGCAGGGAGGAGGAAGAAGAAATGTGTCATCCATGGGAAGCCTGTCCACCAACCAACCCACTCATAGCTACTCCAGGCTCACCTTTCACAGTGCTCACCCCCTGTGTGATCACGGCAGCCCAGGCAAGCGCCTGTGTGGGTGTCGCACTCATCTGCATGCCCATTGCAGACACATGGCCGGCAGCTAGGGAATCCCCACTGGCCACGCTGGCAGCGGTCACAGTGAAGCCCAAAGGCACCAGTTCGACAGGGACATTGCCCACTGGTCTTTTCACAGAGACTGCTGAGCGCCCCCTCGGGGCTGCACTGGCAGGCTAGGAGCAAGGCAGAGACAGAGCCAGGGGACGGGGTCGGAGGGGAGTGTGGGTTGGGGAGGGTCTCAGGGGAATGTGGGTAGTGGGAGTCTAGGTGGGAAGGTCAGGAAATGGAAGAGAACTGCAACTGACCCAGGTTGAGAGTAGAGGGTCCAAGACTTAGTTTGAGGAAAGAAGCAGCAGGTCCAGAAGAGGAAAGACAACAGTAATGGGAAGGAGAGAGAAGCATAGGAGGGAACAAGAGGTAGGAGAGTACCTTGACAGCCTGTGGGGCCAAAGCCATAGTAGCCAGGGGCACAGAGGTCACAGCGGCGCCCAACCACTCCAGGCTTGCACAGGCACTGACCGCCATGAGGGTTGCACTCAGAACTCAGTGAACCTTGAGGGTTGCACTGACATGCTGTGGGGAGGAGGGTTGGGCCAAGTCAGGCTGGGTCCCCACCTCTGCC